TCCCCATGGTGCACAGCAGCTCCTTCTTCATAGCTCTCCTCCAGATGCCTCTGCTCCTTGTCACAAGCAAACTGCTCTCCTAGAAGTCAGAAGAGAAGATGCCCCAGCTGTGCTGCCCCTCAGCAATGGGAGGGCAGGCAGCTGATCTACTCAGGAAACTCTTCACTTCTTCTGTGTATTAGATGATACCTGCACTTCTGCATTAAATTATAAAGGTCTATTGAGCACCAAGCTGATCCTCCCTCCCTCTCCTCCCCCAGGGCCAGCAGTCTCAGCAAGGTGAAACGTTTCAGAGCAGCCAGAGATCTCTGTCCCAGATTTCCAGTGGCAAGGGACAGTGCAGGGTTTAATGCCTTCCCACTCAGCTGAGATTCTGTGAAGCACAGTAGCATGACACTGGCTGAAGAGGGTAGAGGTTCTCTTCTCCTCAGGGTGCCACATCTGCTGAGAAGCTCCAGGAAGGCTCTGCAGCCTGGGATTGCCCTACAGATTGCCCTACAGATTGCCCCACTGTAACCACCTCAGCTGGAGGAGCAGAATTGAGCCTGGGAAGGGAAATTCTGGGCTTGGGGTTCACATGCCTCAGCCAGTCTAAAGCCTTCAGTGCAAGCACAGAGAGAACAAAAGTGCTCCCCAACCCTGCACCTGGTGGAGATCCCTCACCAGGACGAGCTGGAGATCCTGCTGGCAGGGTATCCATCCATCCAGGCCTTAGGAATTCATGCTCCCTGTTGATAATTTGCTTCAGCAGCCCCTAAATCCTATTGTTTCAGTGGCTGACAAAGTTTCTCTGGTTTTTTTTTCCTGACTGGGCATTTTTAGTCTTGTTTTTTAATCAGCTGATTTTGCTGCAGGGCAAGATTGGATGGGCCACTGAATGCCTTGATTTTATTGTTATTGTTTGTATTTTTATATGGATAATGTTTATTTAGAAGATTTCAAACTTCTGGAAAGTCTTTTTTTTTTTTTTTCTTAAACTAATCCAAATAAATTAAGGAATGAAAGTTGGTTCTTGCCCCTTCCATCATTTCCTGAGCTCACATGATGTGAGGGGTGAAACATTCTGAATCCTGTGGAGTATTTGCTGCTATGGATGAGCACAGAGAGAAACAAATAAAGGTGAGGTGTGTACACTGCAGCTCTGGACAGGGTGAGCAGGAGGAGGGTAGGGCAGAGAGACATCCCAGCCCCACTAATCCTCCTGCTGTTTCCTCCTCAGCTCACACCAGCATTTTC